GAAAAACAGCAATTTGGTAACACCCTGCTGATAGAACTAGATACTTTTGTTAGTCATTTCAGTGGGGCAGATGGATCCGAACTAGGAACTTCACTGTACACTAGAAAGAAGAGAAGCCCTGGATATGTCCCTGATAAACTGAAATACTGTTTACTGTATCAGTGACTTCTTCCTAGAGCTCTGCTATCCATTCATTCTTTCAGCGGTTCATTTCCTATCACTGGCTCACGCCAGTCTCTGCTTTCAGATCTGCCAGGTTGCACATGCTCACACAGGTCTTGCAGTTAATCCTCTTGTTCCTGAAGGAACATGCAATTTTATGGGTTCTGCCACTTGCTTGTCCATTTTATATTCTCCAGATCTGAGGCAGTGACAGAAAATTTGCTCTTTTATCCCAGACACGTTGTTGCTCTTACTTTTCTCTCCTTGTCACTCATCCCAAAGCAAAACACTTTGAGGTTTTTCCATTTTTCTTTTAAAACACACTGAATGAGATAACACCGCCTGTGTACTTTGCAGCAGCTCCTCTCAACCCTGGGAGCCACAGAATGAAATCAGGAGAGTTGTGAGGAGTTTAAGTCGTTCTTGTAGTTTAAGGCAAAGAAGATCTTGCTCCTCAACTCCTCAGACATCTCTTGCCATTTGAGGTCAGATCCCTTTCCGTCAGTCCATCCGTGCCACACTATCACATAAACTAATCACTGGTACACTGACACAGTTTCCACTCTTCCATGGCCAGCGTAAGAGATTTGGGCCAGCTCTTTTCGCCATCCTGAGAAATACTGCTCTAAAGCGCATTGGTGGCCTGGGCCACCACCAGCAGTGGAGTCACCACAGGCTCCTTGTGCCTCCTTCCCTCCTGCAATGGGAGGCCGGTCAGGCAGGACCCCCAGCAGATGCCTGAACCCAGAGACGGCATTTCCCAGGGGTTGTTCTGCAGGGCGCCAGCTCGCAAGGGCCAGCACAGTGCATGGGAGCAAGTATGTGGAGAAGGGAGGTAGGACCAGCACCCGGGAAGCCTCTTAGATTGGGCCACCAGGTCTTTGAACACACAGCCTTCGTCAGCCCCCCACTGCCAGGGCTGAGAGCCAGCGGCAGCAGGGATTTTGGGGGCTCCCGATTAGCCAGGGCCCTGGCTCCCTGCCCAGCCCTCTCTGCTGCTCTGGGCCAGGCTGTCCTGCCCCGGCTGCCCTTCCTCGGGTCTCCTTGGGCTCCCTCGCCCACCCAAGGCTGCGCCCACTGCCTGCGGGAGCTGTTCCCACTTTTCTTAAAAAAAAGAGCGAGCATGCGCATGTGGGAGAAAGAGCTCGCAATAACAGTGAGCCACTTTGTGTATTGTTTCCCCAAATGAGAGTAAAAGAAGAGAGATGGGCTGATGTAAGCGAAGAAGCACGCTGTTGGAGATTGGCTTTTAAGCAGCTCGGGCTCTGCCTGCACTGTCTAACAGAAAGGGATTGTGTGCCTCAACAAAGTTGAAATTAATCTTCCAGACAAAGTCAGCCTTCTTCACCCAGCCATGCCCACCAGCGCGTTTCGGATGCCCTTCGCCCTAACCACGCTGCCTGACCATTTTCAAGTTTGCAAGTTAATGCCATGATCTGAGATACAAAATCCCTTTTCCCATAAAGCTCCAAATATAATCGCAAATAATAAGCTTGATTTATCAGAACAAGGGGGTGTGTAACAGGAGAAGAGCCAAAGGGCTGGGCGGGGGAAAGGCAGAGTCGCTCACTGGTGGGAGGGAAGGGCCGGGCTGCAACCGGCCACCCTGCAACAGCTAAACCTGACCACTCAGCAGTTCAGACCATCTTGTTCTGACAACAGCAAGTGCAACACGCGTACAGGTGACCACCCACAAAAGGAAGTCTCTCTGGGAGAGGAACCTAGTATCCTTATTTTTATTTCCTGATGTTACTCTTGTCATCTACATGCAATTTGGGATTGCAAATTTGCACAAAGTGGGAGGGGTGTAACTCAGAGCAGGTGGCTGCTATGACGTGCCTCCCCCATTTGAACGAAGAGCCCCAGGGTACATGGCTCTTGGTTCGACGTGCTGCCTGCCTGTGTGGAGCTACACGGTGCTCAGCGTGGAGTGCAGCCCTCCAGCAAGGGACAGCAAGGATTCATCTGAATGCAAGTGGCCCTAGCTTAACTACAGACTGGATTTAAAACCAGATGATTCAGCTGATGCAAAAGGGATTTTCTTAAACTGATATCAATCTGGCTTATATTTTCCTTAAATCGACAACAGCGAGATACAAATACAGCAAGATGAATCACACAGCCATTCTTCCAGCCGTAATCATGTCCGCCTGCCTTACGGCCCCGGCGGTCAAGCTCTGCCCCTTTCGGCTGCAGTCCTTTACGACATTATCGTCCCCAGCTCTCTGGCCAGTCCCTTTGCTAAAAGTCACCAGTGCAGATTCCAGTCATCCTGCACCACCAGCGAGGGCAGGTTGTCAGGAGCGCATTAGGCTGCTGTGAATTTGGGTCACAGATGGGCATGGCAGAAAGCTGGAGGAGAAAATGTCTGAGACGGCTGCAGCTAAAGCTCCTCCGCCAGCCTTCTCCCCGTGCAGCCGCCTGGTCTACGAGTACGCAGGCCGTCACTTGCTGAGCTGCTGTCGTGCACTTTGAAAGCCACAAGGCATCTCTGCACCCTCGGTCCCAAGGTATCCAAAGCTCTGGGGAGGCCACTTCCTACCTTCATCACCCTGGTGGCTGGTCTGCAGGACCTCTTCAGGCCTGCGAGGTGGGTTATAGGTCTGTATGCTGCCTTTCTGCACAGAAACATCACGTTTGCATAAGACTGAATATGTTTTGGGAGCCCAGATACAGTTTGTCACTGGTAAGTGACTCTGACAATGCAAGACCAACAATGAACTAGAAACTAAATCATTGGCTTTCATCTCTTCTGACTCCTTAGGGCACTTTGGCAAACATGAGCTTGTTGATCTTTCCAATATTCATGTGAGGTAGGTAATAAATATGTTTAATTTTAGAGATCAGGAGACTAAGAATGCAAATACACATGAAGCAAGTCAAGGAACAGACATAAATAGAGACCCCTTCTGCCTCAGTTTAAAGGAGAACGTGGCCCTTTGTTTAGTGAAATGCCATCAGAGTAAAAATATTTTTTTACCCCCAGTACAAATAGCTCAGATTATTAAAATGGAATCATTTCAAATAACTTTTTGTTTGTGGTATGGTGCACGCCATCTACAAAGTCACTCGCCCAGGAGAGCAGCAGCAGAATAACCAGTGTTATCTCTGCTTCTAGTCAGTTTGTAATCGATCGAACTTTGCAGTTTGCGTGCCTGAGCTCAGCACTTCAACGTTTGGTTTGCAAACAGTCTAAGTTTTGAATTTCTCATACACAAAAGAGCTTGTTAAGGTCAGCAGTGACATTTCTTTTAGGTGATGGAAACATTTCCATCGTTAAGTTTTCACATAGCTCAGTTTAACAAAACCTTACTTCTGGGCCAAATTTAAGTTGGCAAGTTCTCTTTAAGCGGTAATTCCTATTCATTATCTTTCAGACAAACCACTCAAATCCCTATTTTGTAAGTGTAACAACATACGTATTCCATGTCTTGCAAAAGGGAGATAACCTCACCTTTTGGCTGACGCTGTCGAACAGAACAATGGCTTGGTCTAAATGCACCAGGCGCGTTTCTTGGGGCTAGCTGTACTACATTTCTCTTTTTGACTGGTAAACAGTTAGGATGAGGGAACTGTATTTGTCTCACAGGCGCTTCTTCATATACACATGCAGGAACTGGGTGATTGCACACTTGTGCTGACTGTAAATGTAAACAACTTCTGATTTTGAGTATAAAACAAATCAGGCTGCTTTAGAGCATGGTATACAAAGATTTAACGACTCGAGGTTTTCAGGTTCTTCCTTTTATCCGGTAAGTCTGGGAGCCAACTGCCAGAAGTTTAATACTTACCTCTTAATGCTCCTGTCTCTTCTCCAGAAGGTTTGACACTAGCAGTTGAGGAAGCAAAAGAGCATCTGAAAACCTTCCTCCAGCCGGAAGGAAGGGCAAGGCAGCCCAGCGCGCCCAAACCACACTTCTGGCATCCACGGCACCAACAGTCCCGGCAAAACGGCAGAGGTAGGAGGGAACATGCCTAAGGCACGGCCAAAATACTCCACATCCACCCACGCCTGAGAAACCCTGGGGGCACAGCGGCCGGGGCGTGGGGAGCTCCTCTGTGGGCGTCTGCCGGGTGCCGTGGCTCCACAGGGTGCTAGACCTGGCCACGGGGTCCTGGCTGCAGCCCACTGGCACGTAGCTGCTCAAAGGGCAATGGAAAACTCGCATACACACACTCACACACACACACGCACACACACATTAATAATCTATGCCCAAAGACTGGTAGCAACGCAATCTGCAACAAAAGGTGCAAGCTTTTCAAAAGAGCACAAAATATTTCATCTTTAAACCACAGTCAGTTGTATCTGAGACCACAGTATTCATCTTTTGCTGATTTGCAGCCTGGAAGTGTAGGCCTGGAGTACACCTGGAAATGGCCTGTATTTCACGTGGCTTCCTGGGCTTACAGCGGTGGCTGCCCTTGGCTGTAAATGGCGCCAAGCGATGTCACATACCCGATAAAAAATCATGAGAAGACCTCACTAGATGGGGGGGGAGGGCAGGTGTCAAGCCCCCCCGCCCGGGCCGGCCGCTGCCAGCACCGCGTCGGCTGCGTTCGTCTGTACCGCGCCGCGACCGCAGGGGGATTCTCTCCGCATCCAAAACAAGAGCTGGGAGAGAAATTAGCTCTGTGGCTGAAACGATTCATTCGCTAGCGCAAAAGCCTATTGTAATGATCAAACCGTCACTTGGGGAAAACAAAGCAAAACATGCAAACTCCTATTCAAAAGCATGAAAGAGCTTGGCATGCGCCCTCCCCCCCCTCGGCTCGCTACAGGAATTAGCACTTGGGCTTTTCACTCTTGCGTCAAATTTCGGTTTGATACCACCTACCTGGTGACTTGTGTTCGCGTGCCGAAGTCCAGGGACCTCATTGACTGCAGTACTTCAATACAGCCCATGTACTAGAGAAAAGAGAGAGACAGACCGACAGGACGGCTATGTTAAGCTCTAGAGAACAGGTACGAGGAGGATCACAGAAGAATGCAAATGTGGTTTCAGCCCACTAAATGTATGCAGAACCATAGTCTAAATGGGAAAATCTAATCAGCCACTCTAGATCTGCTTACTAAATATATCGTGTTCACTGAAGAGTGCGTAGGACTGCAATAAAGGTACTAGCAACTTCAACAACATAGCAAAAAAAAAAAAAGAAGTAAAGCATTTTAGAGACATCGTTCCTTTTTTTCCAGTCCTGCTTATTCTCTCTGATCAGCCTGCATTACTGAACTGGGAGCATTAGGGTGAAACTCTCCCACTAGCAGTGGATATCTGGAAGCCCCTGAGGCCAGTGCACTCATAAAGCCTCCATGCAGTTGAGCTGCATGCTCAGGCCAGAGGCAGGTTTTATGAGGTACGAGGAGAGCGGTGGCTCCCTGCTGCTGCAGGTCTGAGGACAGATACCTCCTGCAGAAGATGAAGAACGTGGAGATGCAATTCCAGCTCATAGCAACTGCTCTTAAGATCCTGCACTATAAACCAGCCTGCCTTAAATCAGAGGCTGGATCCCACACTCCTGTCACATGGGGCAGAGCTGAGGGACTTTCCATACTCATCTGTGATTTTCACAGAACTAAAGATTGATAACATTCAGCAATTTTCAGAAACATCAGGAATGTAGTGATGTGTCAGCCCATGGACTCCCGTGATGTTTATATACCAACCTAGGGAACATTTTCATCTCAATGAGGTGTACTAGGCTAATGCTATCCACTGAGTTTACCTTTCCCAAAAATATCTTACTAGTTCCTTCAGCATTTCTGTTGGTGCCCATCACTCTGCTATTGAAGCGCCAAGACTTCTCCCCTTTATAGGCTTGGCACAGGTCTGGGTTTCCCTGTTGGCATCCTCTGTTCCACAGTGAAGTATTCTCCAGGAGTTAGAAAGGGCTTTGTGGCAATCCCACAGTTCCCGCATAGCGCCCAGGGGCTCCGGCGAGAGCCTGCCCACGCGGACCTCGCGTGCGGGAAGGCAAGGCCTCTCAGATACACCAGAGAGACGGGCAGTCCCAGACAGGGGCAGGCATGGTCTGTGCTCTTGTTTTCAAAGGACAGTGGAACCACTGTTTGTCCAGAGAAAGGTGCTGTATTTACCTCCTCTGCCTCAGTTTGTCTGTGAATTGATTTTTCTGCTGGGGCATTCAAAGGGGATTGGATTTAGGTATCTATTTCAACTTTGGAGACTTCTGGAAATGGATGTGTGCGTTAAAAAGAGAGTGTCTGCGTACAGTTAAACAGGGATTCCATAACAATTGTATTATCCCTGTTTTGATTTCTTTCCAAATAGCAGTGCAACCCTTGGGAGAGCTCCAGAATTAGGTCAGAGCCCTGGAAGGACATCAATAAGAATCTGAAGGGTTAGCAGAACCGCTTCCCTAATGAACATTTAATGACTTGGTAAAGGACTCTGAGAGCTATCTTACTTGTTAAAGATATTCCTGCTTAACGGGAACAAAGCAAATGTGGAAAATACGTTTAGAGCCTCAGCTTATAGCATGGCAGAGACCTCTGATCCTTCTGTATAAGGTCAAGTATTCTATGAGCTGGTTGGCTGCTTCACTATCCTTCAGGAAAGAAAGATTTAGAGGAGTAGGTGAGTCATATGCTGATAAGTGAGTCCCCGCTGCATCCTGAACAGATGCGTGGGAAGCTACTCTAAGCAAAGATGAAAAATCAATATTAGGTTTTGCATAAGTGACCCTGAGTGAAGCTGAACTTATCAATGATTCACAAAAGATCTTTTTTTTTTTCTTTAAAAGCCTGAGTAGGCAAATGCATTAACGTGGCACCGCGCTGTATCCCTCATTTATTTTAGCTGCCTTTGGTTATCGAAACCAGCACAGCTAGCAGTGGCTGAATGGCCACATCTCTGTAGGACGGGGAAAGAAAAACTGCAGAGTCCTGGGCATGGACAAGCAGCTGGGACTGCTTGGGGGAGCAGAAGGCAGGTCCCAGTGCTCAGAAAGAAGCCCTCTCAGCAATTGAAAAGGACAATAGGATACTAGAATCCTATTAAAGAAAACAAAAGACACTCTCCAAGGAGGAAACAAGAATTAAACCTTAAACAAGGCAAAGATTAACCCTTCTACGGCAGAGTCTGCAGGGACTAACAACCTGGTTGGTGTGCAAGGGAAAGGGGAAGGCAGGAGGCAAGGAAAAAGCTTTTCTCAACAATCTTCACCCAGGCCTGGACTCTAATCCTGGTGTTACCCCTATTCCACCACCCCGTTTACCCCAAATGGCCGCTCCCAGAAAAAGCTAGTTGGCACATCCAGGGGCGCAGGGTAGAGGGCAGGTCCCGCTTTCGTTTTCTGGGAGAATTTAAGCCCAGGCTTTTGCAGGCCTGCAGCCCACCAGCACCTTCACACAGCTCCATAAGCACCAGCACGCCTGTTTGCTTGGCGAACAAGTAGTCGACGGCTGCCGATGGCATTTCTGCAACGTGACGAGAGCGATATCGAGGGCTCAAAACTACTAGCGCTGTCAAACCTGCTTGGGAAGGGAGGGGAGGGCGAGTGACTTGTGTGACTTGTGCACGCGCAACGAGGTGTCTGAGCCTTTCAAAGCCTGCAGAGAGGAACCAGGCGCTGCTTTAGCGAGCAGCCAAGGGAAAGCAGGGGGGAAGCTGGGCTGCAGCCCCGGGCCGGTGCGGAGGGTGTAGCACTGGCGATGGGGGGGGATGCTTTCTGCTTGCTTCCCCAGGCTGCTGGGCAGCTGGTGCAGGCAGAAGGGCGGCTAGCGAAGACACACATCGTTTCACATCTATTTACAAGAGCTGGTGGAGAGCCGCTGCAAAGCAGGATGAGGACTGTGTGGGAGGAGATGGGAACGCACTAAGCAGGGCTCGTGTGAATAGGCTTTTGAGGCACCCTCTAATACAGACCCAGGTCTCATTTCATTCCTTCCCATAACACAGTTAATGGCTCCGGCTCCAGCTTGAATGACAGCCAGTGATTCACCAGCAGAAACGATACAGGGAGCAGAGCACTGAGCTCCTAGTTAAACAACACAGCTGAAGCCTTGCAATTCTACCTGTTAGTTAACAGGCATTAATTTATGCATAATGTCAAGGCTACATTGACCTACAGACCCCACAGACCTACAGACCCTACAGACCCCACAGCTGACTAGCAAAGAGCCCAGGTGACAGCATCTGCTGACAGACGCACTACGGGATCATGCTGCTGCTAAACACCCTCTACCCAAACGTATACGAGGCTAGGTTCAAATTCACTATAAACATGTTACAGCTGCCTCGGCAAAAAACCATGGCGAACAGTTGCACTGTGTGCAAACGAGCATGTCGAGAACCCAGCCCCCATTCAAGCCTTTCTTTTGCACTGCTTTAACAAGGCACTTTTGAACTAAGGGGAAAAAAATTGCTGAGCTTCCCACCACCCACGTCCCTGAAGAGCAAGGGTGCCCGGGCAGGCGCTCCTCGGCGCTGCCGGCTTTCCCCGCGCCA